CTTGCCTTTTTTGCAGTTTTCACGAGTGACATCATTTGGAGTCTCGAAACATTTGAGTTCTTTTTTTTTCACAACAATTCTAACTTTTTTACTGCTTTAAGACATCGTATAAACCAATTTATGTTCACAAAAAAAAAAAAAAAGCGGAGCACCCCTGGCGAACGCCACCGGCGCCGCGCATGCGCGATGGGGTGTGGGAAAGAGGCTCGCCGTCGCTCATAAACAAACTATTGAAATGCGATGTTGTCGGCGTCGGTCTGAGTACCCGTGCTCTCTTTCGCGTGGTAATTGTTGATCTGACGTCTTCCTGGCAATGTCTGACTACTTGAGTGGCCTCAGCGAAATTACCGAGGCTCGTTACACCGCAAAACTTCGCGTGAATAATGTGACATGCGGCGAATCATTCCGCGTAGACGCCGCAGAATGGACGCTAAAGCCTGGTTCGCATGATGAGATTCCGCTCGCAATTTTCAGTCGCGACATCGCTGGGGCACCAAAAGCGTGAACCGTAGCTGAGATGGTCGACGTCGATACTGGAAATCGCAAGCAGAATCGGACAAATCAGGCATAACAAGTCGGCGATGACTACTGGTAACAATGATCAACATCTCCTTGTATCTACTGTTTACACCGAGCCTGCTTACCCCAACCAACCTTCAAACTTAAGACTTTTGAGGCCTACACTTACTTCTTTTCGCAATTACCGAGCCAACGCTTGGTCTACGGGCCGGTGTTGTCTGAAAGAGCAGACGACAAGCAGAAACGTTTGAAAAAGCAGACGACAGTTCGAACTATAATGTGGCCGTTTGAACTTGAAGGAGCAATGAACGTAGTCCGCATGGTGGTCCGTACCACTTGACAGTTTTTCCGCGTTTTTGTTGGAGCAAAACAAATAAATCTCATGACCACAAGTATCCGTGAATTCAACCCAAAGTGCTTCCCGCCCAAGCAATCGTGGCCCGACGGAGTCTGGTTTTCCCTTTTCACGGCACATATCCACGTTCTCGGACGAACTGAGCACACGAAAGCTGACCTTCGAACCTTTCTCGACTATTTTGGTACAGCCCCAGTCACAGCGTTTTGACAAGAAGGCAGGTTTCTGTCTGGTTTCTTTCAAAACAACGCAGGAATGCACGTCCCGCATGGTGACTTCCGCCCACAGCCCCAGACCGGAAGTGCACTCCACGCTCGACGCGCCGTGACGTAACAGGGTTGAGTTCGTGTATAGAAGGGTTAAAGTTTTCTATTAGTGTGATTTTTATTTAATTTTATAAACAAAAGAGGGGAGGTCTTTTAGTTGTACCGTCTTTAGCGCGTGCTTTTTTAAGGATGAACAAATTGACGGCAACCTTTACTTCCGAAATTCTATAGTGCGTGAAATGCGTTATAGGGAATTGGCAAGGAAGCTGGTGCGTCACCTGACGTATACTTTTCGCTAAATTTAGCGAGGAAACTGGATTGGTGTCATGGTAGCAAGTCGTAAACTTTCCCGCTAAATTTAGCGGGAAAACTGAGTTGACGCATAAGTCGCGGTGCCGTCAAGTTCCCCGAGGTGTATAGGTCACGTGACGTGAGGTAACGTCACGTGACGCCACTTTCTCCGCGAAATTTAGTGGAAAATGCACGGAAGGGCTAACGGATGGATGGACAATATTGTGGGGTTGGGGGGTAGCGTTAAAAACTATTTAATGTTTTAAAATGCAGAAAGATCTTTCAGTCGTCCCGCCCCCAGCGCGAGCTTCCTAGTCTCGATACAACTTCGGCGTCTCGTCAGCTTCGCGCTTGCACGCGCATCCAATTCAGTGCGCAGAGGGACAAGCACGTACCAAAGGCTGGACGACCAGAGGAGACGCCCGACCGTTCTTACGCTGTCAGTACATTGTTCTAAAGGGTGTAGTGGCAAGAGCGGCGCCCGCTTACAATGAAGCGCGTGAAGACGGTCGATGTAGATACCGCGATTGGCGCTGGAGTTCTGTGCCCTAGGAGAATTCATGGCGCGTGTGCGATGAACGAAGAAGACGACGAGGTTGACGCGGTACGCTTCTCCAAAATGTAACACCGTAGAACTTCTTTCGCAGCTATTAAGCCTGCAGCCCAAGTGATAGCGTTGCTGAACGATGTGTCAGTACTGGGAAGGGGGGGGGGGGGGGGGGGGGGGGGAGTCGATATTAATTAAATAATCTCCCTCAAAACACGCGAATATTTCAAGTAGAGGATAGCACACAATCTAGAGGCATCAGTCCAAAGGCAGAACTACAATTTACTATACTTCGTTTCACCTTATGTTGTACCGCAACGAAGGCTAGAAGCGCGAGCTCATAGCGTTGGCAGCTGCTCTTAATTCACGAGAGCTTGTGCCGCCGAGATGTGCCCCAGAGCAAAGAGCTCGCGCTTGTAGCCTTTCCTGCGGTACATCATAAGGTGAAACAGAGTATACAGAACAACATTAGCAGTTGTTTCGCACCGCGAAAAGCTCCAGTCAAACCACAGTAGTAAGCGCCGAACAGCGCTGATGATGGGGCTGACGGGGGCGCGCTCCTAGGGCACAGAACAGCAGCGCCATGGTGTCGTCTACGCGCAAAATCTTCACAAAGCGGCCGCCGCTCTTGCCACTGCAACCCCCTCTAGAACACTGTATACCTGTCAGTGACTACAGGATAGTTTAGAATTTTGGCCTAGAATCTTTTGTACGAATGGGTCTATCCGAAAGATTTCGAATTCTACAGGGTCCTGGGTCTATCAATTTTGGGTGTTATCATTTCGTACACGAAGAGAGAAATAGAGGAATTATAGAAAAGGCAAAGATGTTAGACTCCAAAGTTACTTAGGCCTGCCAGCGCCCTTGAGACGCCGCCTCGAAAAGGCAGTTTTGAATCCTCTTACGTCCGCGAGACGCGATCATTTCATGACGACATATATCAGTGTCCAAGCGTTCCATCGCGAACAATCCACAGCGGTTTTCGACCGAATGCGTACACCAAATGCCGGACGCCGGCGTTCCGCGTTCTAAAGCGTTCGACGAGCGCGGTAGAGACCAAGGCACCTATCTTTGCGTCTCCACTAATCATTCCAACCAGAGCTCGGTGTTCTGAAGCCCCCAAGCACGCTCCCCTCTCCTTCTCTTCCTCACTTTCTGACCGTATATATACAAGCCCATGTCAGCGTCTGCACACGCGCGATAACAGACTGAAAGATGAAGCAAAAGACGTCTTCCTACAAAGTTTGTTCCAGCCGATTACTTGGCAGAAAAATAATCATGGCGCGCGGAATATATGGCAGCGCGTTGGTTCTTTATCTCCATAATATAGGGTGACCCAAGTCACCAGGCTCGATCTAAAATGAACCGTCAAAATCACGCCTGCACAAGCAATCTAGTCTAATATTTTCGTCAAAGGTGTATTTTATCGGTCGGTTTCGTCTTGTAAACTTACAAAGCGTAGCTCTCTTTCTGTAAAGCCTAGTTCACATGCAGCGGTTTTGGCCCTAGAGCGGCGCGATTTCTGCCGTCGCGGCGCTCTGGCCAGCACCAGCAATTCTGCGGCACGAGCGCCGCGACGGCGGAAATCGCGCCGCTTTAGGGCCAAAATCGCTGCATGTGAAACACGCTTAAGAAGCAACCGCATCTCTACGTGGTGAATGATGTGGATTGGGGCGAAGCTCTGGCGGTGCTGGTCTGCGTAGACGCTGAGCCGCAGCATGCCGAGCCTTTCGTTCGTTTTCATCCGTGTCACGCTGCGGTCAAATTCTCAAATGCGTATATAACCACGTTCCACGCCACACATTCACTTTCTGATATGGATGAAAACGAACGAAAGGCTCGGCATGCTGCGGCTCACCGTCTACGCAGACAAGCACCACCAGAGCTTCGCCCCAATCAACATCATGCACCACGTGGAGATGCGGTTTTTTTTTTCTTTTTTTCTTTGCCCTACACGAGCACGGGAGCGCGTGCTCACGTGCTCGTGAGCACGTGAGCTCACGAGCAGGAGAACGTGCACCTGACGGCAGACGGACATACGGACATGGCTAGCCCCTAAGGAGCTTCGCCCCTAAAATAGTGCCAAGAAACTTGCCAGGGTCTACGGTGGCCGGCGACGGAGACTGCCGAGTCGAGTAGCGCGGTGTGTTTGGTGTTATTATCGATAGATGGCGTCGGGAGCAGCGTCCGAAGGTGCAGCCGACCAGCGAAAGAAAGCAGACGGCACGCTGATGAAATCCGTTGGCAGCAAAAGCGCCGTCGTTATGTAGACGCTTTTTTTTTTTTTACATTAAGATTTTTTTTTATTCTTCTCGTTTATTTTGAACCAAAGGTACGTTTTAAAAAGTATTTGTTCATTTCAATAAACCACGGTGGTCACGAGCCGTCGCGATAAGGAGGTAGCTCCATCTATCAATACGAACGTCAAACACATCCCGCTACTGGGCTTGGTCATCTGCGTCGCCGCCCGCCATAGACCCTGGCAAGTTTCTTGGCCCTATTTCTTACAGAAAAAGTGCTACACTTTGTAATTTTACACGAAAAAGCCGACCTGTGAAATGCACCTTTGACGAAAGGTTTATATGGCTACGTGCAGGCGTCGATTTTTACGGTCCATTTTAGATCGAGCCATGGTGACTTGGGTCATTCTATATATCGAGGTAAGTAGACTTCACTTTTGGCTCAAATTCAGTTAACCATTCGTAACATCCCCTCACAAAAGACTCCACGTGAGTGCATAGTTACTCACAGGGCTAGAACGGAAGGGAGATCCTTCATCTGTCTTGTCTCCAGCGCGAACTTCGTATACCTTCGATTAGGCTTCCACGTCCCTTTTGAGCTACGCGCAAACACGTGCGTATAAAGCATGACCGAAAGAGATGACTTACCGTTCACATCCTGCCAGTGACGATAGTCTCTGTGAAAAAACAACTAGCCTCGCTGACACTTTTTTTCCCGTCCCGTTCCAGGAGCCATTCAGGTCTGGCTTTCGGTGCCAAGCTGCATCCTGCTCGACCTGCTGATGACATCGTCGAGCGGAGGCTGTCGCACGTCCAAGAAGAAGACCGTCCAGTTCGCGCTACCAGGTCGCATCGTGAGGCCGCTCCAATGGCGCGACGACGTCATCTGGGCCCGGGTCGAAGCTCCCCGAAAGCGGCCTCCGAACCCTTCTCTCGAAGACCTGTTCCAACCGGAAATGAACATGGCGGCCGGAGGAGGAGCAGGGCATCGTCGAAACGGCAGCAACTGCTCGTCCATCGACTCAACGTACGCCAACTCGTCGTCGCAGGACGACAATCACTCGTCGTCCAGCAGGGACTCGGTGTCGGTGAGTTCTTTCTTCGGGATATCAAAGTACCATCATCGCCATTACTGTCAAGACCGGCTATAACGAAGTCAACGGGAATCGGAAATCACTTCGATATAACCGCTATTTCGTTATAACCGAGTTCGGTTACAACGAAGTGAAAAAGGAAATGGGAGATCGTGATCGCTTCGCTGTTGCCGCTATTTCGTTATAACCAAGTTCGTTATAACCGGTCTCGACAATATCTGTTTCTTTTGTGTGGCCATGAACAGCTTAAATTGCCTGCATATGATGCGCAAGAAAAGGATTACATATTTCGAGATGCCGATGCGCACTCAACGATGTTATGAAATATAACCCCTGTTTCATGTCCCCTATAAAATATTCTATAGGGGTCAGGAAACTGGCTAAGGTAGTGTAATTAACAAACGTAGCAGCAATCAAACCCATTCAGAAATAAAAACGATATAAATTCAAGACAACATAAAAACTCAGCAACTATCCCTGACGGAAGCGATGGATCCAACCATGATGATGATGATAATAAAAAGAATAGTAATAATAGTAATAATAATACTTTAATTTATTTTATAATTTAATAATACATTTTATTAATAATTAATTAATAATAATTACTTTTATTGCTTAATAACAAAAATATTAATAAATACAAATTTTCAGATATTGACAAAAAGTAAAATAGCAATTCTTGAATCCGTGTTTGCAAAAGCTTGATTGGTACCAGGCAGGAATGAAGGAGTTTACTTGGAAGTGTAACATGGAAGGAAGAAAACAACCACGTCAGAAGCCCGTGGCGGGGTTAGCATCGCCAGCGGCTGACAACGCGGAGGTACAGGGTTCGAAACCCGCCAGCACCGTGGCCGAAGTCGAGCTTAACCGACACTTTAGCGGCCGCCCCACTTTAGGAGCCGCTGAACTGGCGGCTTAGCCGCCTTTGGCAGCGAGGACCCATAAATCACCCGACCGAAGAGACATCTCTCCCTAACAAGAGTGTGCAGGCTCTTTTTGTAGCAAGATCCAACACATACAATTCTCATGGCGGCGCCACTACAGGAAACATGCATATATATTGCCGCTCTGCTAAGGAGTTTGCCCTATCCAAACACCAGACCGAGGCACTCATAAAAACACACGTGCAGGCGATCTGCGGTTGTGCACCATCATTTTTATTTTTTCTCTTTCAGTTTTTGGTTTGCGAATTGTGGTGCCTTTTATTCGCAGAGCTTAAGAAACAAAACACAAGCAATGGATAATTATGTTCACTCTTCTTGCTTCGTGACTGGTTCTTCCGTGTTCTTATCAGAAAATGCCGCAATATCATTGGCTGCGAAACGATAATGAGATGCTCGGTACTGCAGTAAGCGACCGTAGCTTCCGCGCTGCTTTTTTTTTTAACGCACCATGGAACTTATCGTCGCGACCGATGGAAAAGTCGCCAGGACAACAACTCGTGACGTCACCACGAGGCAAGTTCCGGTTTTGACGCCACGGATGGAAACGTAAGAGGGCGCCACCGACACGTCGCAGCGCTAATACAGAGTTTTAAAGAACCGTTTTTGCGCATCGGACACAGTACGATGGACTCTACGGTACGAACTGCGCGTGCGCTACACAGAAGACTCGCATATGCACAGTGCGTACCGGATGGCCCATAGTATCGTATCGGATGTGCAAAAACGGTTCCCTAAAACTCTCTAATACGTGGTAAAGCAGACGGTGCATAGAAATTTCCAATCATCGCCTTAATTGCGTGCGACCATTTTGTCCTACTGGACCGTGGAACGCGTTCTGAGCCCGAGCAGTAGCTCTCTTCCGCGAAATACAAAGCCCAGTGACTCGGCATCTTTCGCCTATCTGATGAGCGCTGGAAAAGGTCTATAGACCAACTCAACTCTGACGTCCTGGCACTGCGGTGGCGCTGCTGACGGCACTGCGCATCGGCACACGCTTCACTTCACAAGAATCTGGCTTTTGCGCACGCGCAAAACAATGTGTTCGTCTCTCTCTCTCTCTCTCCCTTTCTATATATATATATATATATATATATATATATATATATATATATATATATATATATACTTTGTTTTGCCATAAGTTAAGACGCAGCCGATGCTACGAGCTGAGGGGATTGCCAGTCAGACAGCGTCAAAAGATTACCATGTATACGCCATCGCTGAGCCAATCATAAACAGAAAGGGCCCTGCAGTGACTTGAACCAAGTACAGATCTCTCTTCCGTGTGGGTGTGCGCTCAAAAGATAAAAAAACTATGGAAGATATCAATCTGTAGTTTGGCCGTCGACGAGAAATTCGCCGCGAAATAAGAGTCTTTCTCCCAGCGCGCAGGGGCACTGTGACGAAGTAAAAGGGGCCAATTTCGCCCAGATTTTTTGACCCATTTTGCAGAAACGTGATAGCAATCAGTTGCGCATGGTCCACACCTCAAAAAAAAAAAAAAAAGACGACAGTGGGTTTGTATTAGATTATCTTTTGAGAGCTTTTGAATCGAAAAAGAAAATCCAGGTACGTGGTGCTCAGTCCAAAATGTCTTTTCCTGAAGTTTGTTTATTAAACCGTGTCGTTTCTTCTTTTTTTTGTTTTTTTTTGTTTCTGTGTTTGCGAAGACCGAGTGTGGGCTACTTTCACCTGGATGAAAGGGAAAAGAACTTAATGTCGGTCAATCACTGTCCCTTTCTTCTCGTTACGGCCGGAAGACAAATATCCCCTACTCTAGCGAAAACCCGATCAAGCGTGAAAAAAGTAAGAAGGGCGACGGAAATTTGGATTTCGTCATTTTTCCGAAAGAGAGCAAACAGTCCTGTGATTACGGCAATGAAATTTCTCAATGTTTATATTTTATTTTTTTTTTATTTTTATTGATTGATAGAAAGTTTATTTTCAAAGAATTTCGTGCCGCCTTCGACATCGCTGATGTGACAGACAAGCGCCTTTCACGCCCACGTGTTTTCGGTTCTACTTTTGCCCCATTGTCATACCGACTCCAACCTTGGACGTGTGTACTTTAGCGTTTTTGTTCGGACCGGACACGCACCGATTCGAAGTCAAGTAGAATTGTTGACGACGCGACTGGCCGCTCTACACATGCCCGCACAAAGAATACGCCGAACGAAAGAAAAGAAAGCTGCTCACAAATAAATGCACGCACTGTCTGAGCCCCGCACTTTGAAGAACGCTTTCTCATCCTGCCCTGGACTCCGCAATTGCGCACGTGTCCGCAAGTTCTAGCTACTGAGTTGCCGCCGTGGTGGCCATTTTCCGGAACGCCACTTGAGTGATTGAATTTCGCTGTGTGTATACGGTCGGGAAAGGGGAAAGCGGAGCTAATGAGCATGTAAACCAATTATTAGCACAGACAAGACGAACACTAATGGCCCGTTCACACTCTTGCAACCGAGTACGACCGAGAGAGACAAGACCGGTTTTTTAATCCTCTTACGACTTCTTAGGACCGGATGCGCTACAGCGGAGCTGGTCCTAAGAGATCGCAAGTGGCTTAAAACCGGTCTGGTCTCTCTCGGTCGTACTCAGTCGCAAGAGTGTGTACGGGCCTTAAGCGTCGCCAGTGCGCTAAATAGAGGTCCCGTGACCTCTGTTTCTTTTCTAGTTGAGTGAGCCCTTCCCCAGTAGCATCAAAATAGAGTCTTGCTTGAGGCGGTGATCGCGTCGTACGCTATAACAAGCAGGGAACTAAGCACGGGAGCACGCATTATCAGTAAAACATAAATATGGCTCTCATTTGCCTATTCATTGCAACACGTGTGGCTGTGTTCCGCAACTTCAGCAGATGCGGATACTAGGAAGAAGCCGAGAGACGGTCGCTCGAGAGCTATTGGAAGCTTTCTTTATCAAAAAAAGTGGGACGGCATGTGTCAGCGACACTTCTATTGTCCTTCATTGTAATGAATTTCAGTTTTTGAATGATCGGGTGAAAAATTAATCAACTTTTACGTGGTGCTGCTTTGCCTGTCGTGTGTATATATGTGTTCGATTTTCCAGAATAAAACTAGTTGAAAGTTAGCGCCTGTCCTGTTTACTTCTTGTCCTTGTTTCTGTTGCGCTATTTTATATGTTTTACTAACCATCTGTTTCACTTTGCACTTTACTGCTCTACCGGCAGTGCGGAATGATCACCCTCTTGACCGCCATCTTGTCGCGATCAACGCGCCCCCTTATATATTCGATGGAACTTGCGGATATCGTATTTTTCAGACTCTAGTCAGCCGGCTTCTCATAAAATTTTAAGTGGTGCTACTGTACGTTTTTTTTAATTGTTTTTAAAATTATATTGAAAATGGCAGAACATGTTATCGATAATTTATGTAAGATAGAAAAGGCTTTGTGGTCTAATTGATCGGACATTTGTTCATGTGTTCGGTGCATGAACCTTTTTGTTTGCGCGGACTATAGACAGCAGCTGCGGGCTGTGCACCAGGTGCACACTATCTAAAAAAAAAAACGCATATTTTTTATATGAGATATACTCCTGCGGACTATACACCGAACCTGGACTACGGTTCAAAAAGTACGGTGCGCTCCCTGGGAGATAATAATGTACACACATAACACAAAAGGCGGTAAGCAGAAATTATCTGAGGCCCTCGTAGGACGCCGTTCTTTACAACGCTGACCCAGACACCGCGGGTAAATTTCGGCGCATTCCACGCATCTGTGATGCTAAGCAATGAATCTCTTGAAAGGCTAATGACATTCGGAGCCGAGCAGACGGGGAAAACGTTTGTGTTCCCTCACCTGTTACGATACGCAGCCGGCGGATGGATACGCGATGTTGAGTTTCTGTGTCGGAGAACATTACGATCGTTGCTATTCCCTGAAGATGGGCCGTCGGCGGGCTGTGCGGACGTTCACGAAACTGGACAGTACTAAAGAACCTGCGCAGCCAAAAAAGGTGATCGTATTGATAGTCATTTTAATTTTACCGCTAAAATTTTCCTCAATATTTCTTAAGAAAAAAGAAGTTGTCTGTGTTGCATCTATAACGTAGGTGATCTGTCTTTAAGGCGAAAGCGCGCTGTTCAGAGAAGCAGAAAGCCCTCCTCGTTGAGTTCAACTCCAAGTATAAAAAACGTCTGAACATTGAACGGCTTTAGTAAGACACTGATTTTACCTGAACCAGCAGAAACAGGGTTTGTGTCGAAACACGGGACCAGTTAAGACAATACTTGTACCAAAAACCATGCTTCGGCAGAAATTAAATTCTAACAAAAAATAAAAAAAAAGTACCTCAAGAAGGGTTTTTGTTCTCCCCGCGGTAGCTCTTGCCATGTGGTTCTCGGGTTACCTCCTCAGAACCGTATGGCATATTCTCAGGGGGTAACCTGAACAAATGACGAAATGATACAGCGTGCCACTAACATACAACTGCCGCAGCTGATTTGTAGTTCCCGCTTCTGCCAATGTCAGGGAATGCCAACCGGAAACGCGGTACAGGGTTAGAAGGCGATGCCGAGCGCCATGGTGACTGTGCAATCTACTTACTCAATACTTGTTTTCTTTCTTACTATTTCAGAACGTTGTAATTGTATCCTGTTCGGGACCAGGACAACGATCTATCGGTGAGTATTTTTTTTAGTCAGTTTTTGAAGTGTGTATACCTTCTAAAACTTCTCTTCAAGACAGATAAGGTAACATTGCCCGAAAGGGCAAGGTAAAAACACATCGCACTAAAAACGAGAGAAGTTCAGACACCTTAGTGCTCTTTCAAGCAAAACGTTGCAAATCGCTGCTAGCTCCGAAAGTTCATGGTGGGCTAACCTGGGCTTTCTACGTTAACGCCCCTCGCTTCGTTCTTCGGTGTTGTGTCCGGCTGATGAGGCAATATCATTGATACAATGTCCCATAGGAGGAAAGTTTTCAATTTTCGGGGGGGGGGGGGCACGAAACACCGCCCCCCCCCCCCCTCCCCCGTAAGGACGCCTTACCAGATTACAAATGCGACTTCGTCTAGCGAATAATCATTCGAAATAAGTCATTTTGCAGTGCAACGTGGTAATGAGAATGAAGCTCTAGATGCAGGAGCAGCCGAATAAATGTACGAGTATACTTAATTTAGCTTTGTCATCTTGTTAGTTTTGATCGCGAACATTACTCTCTATACATATATCTCCGTCCTAGTACAAAAGTAGCAGTTAGTATCGTTTTGTTTGTGATGGTTGCTGGAGCAGTATTAGCGTGCAAGCTCCCACCTCACTCCTTTGTGGCTCGAATGTTGAAGTTGAAGGGAACGAAGACAGTGAAAGTATTAAAGACAGAAAAAGACAGAAAGAACGGTTGTTTAAACTTTAAACCAAACAAATGAAATGCGAGGCTTGTTTGATGCTGGCTTGGCTCTCCCCCCACAAAGAAAAAGAAAAGGAAACGACATCCCTGCTTGTCCTCCTCACCACCCCCCTCGTAATGTCGAGGGAACACCCAAGTAGACAGCTACCATGGAGCCAGGCTGGCGCTCGGTAGCTAATCCCGCGGCCAGGCGACTCGCGATCGTCGGTCGCTGAAGCTTCGCTTTCTCGGTCGTGTCTGGTGGCGCTTTCGAATTTTGCCGCCTGTTGCCGCCATAGAACAACAATAAATCGCCGACAACACGTAGATGTTGCTTTTTTTTTTTTTGAACAATCCGTCGGGCACATTTTTTAGAACGCCTTTGAGTGCCAAAAAAAGGCATTTCGCTGCTGTCACTAGTGCCAGTGAACGAACCACTTTACTTTTTTCATCAGTCCCTTCGTCTTGCCTCTGCTTTTTTTTTTTTTTTTGCTTCCGACACCTCAATCATGACGTGCCTGAGCTCCTTTTTCGCCTTTCTTTGTTCATTTTGTAGGGCAGTGGCGATTTAAGCGCCTTAACAATTGCTGTCCTAATTGTTATGACCCGCACGGAGTCCTTTAGTTTTTATTTCCCGCCGTCTACAGGCTTGTTTCCTTTTTTATTGCTATTTGCTATTTATTTATTTTTTCGACTGCAATTTTTTTTTAGATGCTAAAAAAAGTATCATCGCCTCCGGCGGAAGCGATGGGACTTGCTTTTCTGAAGAGCTCGCGAGTGGTGAGGGAAGAACCTGAAATTGGCAAAAAAAAAAGAAGAAGCTGCCTCCCTTTGTAGTCGGCGCCTACACGATGCTCGATACTTGACACAAACTGAGTTTATTTAATTGTCACCGGTAAATTGCTATATAAGTGCATGTTTACGAGCAGTGTATTTTTTCATCGCGGTTCGGTGAAATCAAAATGTATTTGGAGTCATCTGAGTGCTTCCTCTTATATTGTGTTCGATTTGTTTACCGAAAACAAATATAACCTACGTTTAATGTATGCTTTTTAATACACTTTTTCTCGGGTAATGCCCTTCTTCCGTTTGGCCGCCTTGTGTGATGTTATATACTATATTCACTAGCAGCTTCAAAAGTGTAATGCTTGCTATTTTTACGCTTTCAATTGCGGCACAATTAGTTCTTCGGCACTGTTTGAATTGAACTTGGTTGTTTTTTTATTTAGACACCAGGTCTAGTGTAACCGGGCGAAGGGCGGATTGACTCTGCCTGACGCGGCTCTATTACCCGTTTACAGTGCTCAGAACGCGAAAAAAAAAACACACACACTCAAGAAGTACAAGGAGGTGTACAGGTACATCGAGAGTGTCCCAAGACGGCGCAGGAGTTGATCCCCTGATCATCGCGGTTTCACCCTGTCTCATCGCAGTTCGGATAGGCTCGGACTCAACCTCGGTGGACAGCACACGGACGGACAGTAGCAGCAGCAGGGCCGACTCAGATTACCAGGTGGGTGCGGATCGTCGCTATGATGTTCCAGCCATTGGCTCTTCGCCCCGGCTATCCTACATTCTAAGACATCCGAAGCGTCTTCCTCGAACCATTCAGGATAGCCAATCTCTGCATTCCACAATGGCAGCTCGGCGATCGACAATACATAAAAAGAAGAAGAAAAAAAAATCTGCGCTGCAACATTACACAAGGTGAAAAGTCATGCGTATACTTCGTTTGAGCTTAAATCCAGAAGCAGTCGACGCTACAAGCTGATGGACTAATGAGACAGCGTCAAAAGCACACCATCATGGTTTCATGCTCATGTACGTGTTATGTCATCGCTGAACCTATTCTAAACAGAAAAGGCTTAGTGACGTGCGCTTCTAATGCTGCTTAATTGGTTCCATTAGCTCGTGGCGTCGGCTGCGTCTGGACTTAAGCCGACACGAAGTATAGTGTCGCAGCTCAAACTCTTTCTTGTTTCAGTTATAAGCAGGTTTTTATCCTCATAATTCGGCGAACTCCGTACATCCGTCAATTAGAACGATTTGCTCTCCCCCAAGTGCTTCGCGAGAAAGTTGATGTTTCGTATTCCTTCGAAAGAGTACAGAAGCAAGCTATTGTTTTCCACTTTCAAAACGTGTCGTCCCTTGTTTGGAATTACGGACTGCCAGTCTGCTTCGCTCCATTCACATTTGCAGGAGTGGTAGCCCATTGCTTATGCATCATACTGTTCATCATACAAAAGACACTTTGCAGACATCAGTTACTGCGATATCCGTGGTTCCAATCCCGCGCGTGTCAAGTTTGTCCTTGAACTCGTCTCCATGCGGCATTCGAAGCACGGATCTCGCAGTGACTCGCGTTCGAATCTCTCTGCAGACTCTCTTTTGTACGATGTAGTATGTCTTTTGTACGATGTAGATGTAGAATGAGCGCGGCTTTAGACTAACGTTGCAGAGAAGGTTACAGGGAACATCTTAACCATGGCGAAGCGGTGTTCCCGCACCGCAAAGTAGTCAAACGTTTCTTGTTTCCTTGCATCTTCTTTCAAGATGGCTTTCAAAAAATTTGTTTTCTTTTATGCTTACATTTATTACCTAGGAAGCATGAATTACGGACTATCAACCGACAACCATCCATTCCGCTTGACACAGTATAGAGCTGTAGAGAAAAGGCGTAGTTCAGGTGCGGTCGCCCCGCGTAAAGGCATGCACTCAATCAGAAAACGGTTAATTATCACGTGGTGGACAGTCAAGACTCGATTGGTCCAACCGTCGCATAGCTTCCACTCCACTTCCAGCTTAGTAAGGAATGGAGTATAACATTTCTATTTCGTGTGTAGATATCGAATGGCAAAATATCACAGTTGAAGCAGCATGATTCCGAGAAAAATGGCGCAAATATGTGAACTGATGTTGGTTGTATCTTTTTCTTGCATAGTCAGACAGATTGAGCGATATGGCTGCGTTAACTTTGACACTGGGGTGAGAACGCAGTAAGGATGAAAAAAATGGACCACAAGAAATTTTCCGAGACAGTTCTATTCATTAGGCGTGATTAAGGTCTTAATACCTAATTGAACAGCACAGCCAAAGTCTGTTCACGGAGCGAGTTCACAGCTCGGAGGTCGTGCGGGAAAGCGCGCTGCTGAATCTAAAGACTATCGTCATCTTAAGGTGGAATCACTCCCAGGAACATGAGTAAGCACAAAATGCAGAGTCAACCAAAGTGGGCATATGTGGATGCAACCATTTGCGCAAATAAATCCACCGCGCGGCCCTCACCTCGCGAGACCACGTGACAAATACATGAGGTTTTTGGAGGTTTTTCGAGTGTCGCGGACGAAAATTGACGAACGCAAAGAAATGGACTGAACGCGGTAAGGAAGGTGGAAAAGTAAGGGGGGGGGGGGGGGGGGGGGCAGTGACGTCATGTGATCACGTGCGTGTTTTAGAGCGTGACGGCGGCGCACCCTCCCACCCCCGCGATTGTGCACCGTAGCGCGGAGTAAATTTAGTGGCGCCCTACTTTGTTTCAAGGTCGACATGCCGAAATACAAAGCCTGTCCAGTCCTCGCGCTGGAAGAGGCCCGCATCGGTCACTTAGTATAGAGTGTTTCTTCTTCGCGAAATTGGGTGCAATCTGGAAGCGATTTGACCACTCTGGATGCTTACCCATCGGGGGCGGTGCAGGAAGTGCTGAGTCATGCATGTGAGTACGTATGGTTATGCTCTGTTTCACTCGTCCGATCGCAGCTAACGACGTGCGTTCCGATGAAGCGAATCGATCGGGGTCTTTGAAGCATCTGCCGCCCCCCCCCCCCCCCCCCCAGAAAAAAAAAAAAAAGAAGCCACGCAGAGGGAATGTTCCGTGATCCTACTCTATGGGTGATGATTTAGCCGGGAATAGTAAACAGTCAAAGAGAAGGAGCGCCGTGACGATGCACTTTTTTATGTTGCTCGAGTGGCACCGTCGGGTCGATAGCGTCTACATTGGTCGGACTTGACGTGAGACGGAGTATGATTGGTCCTCAAAGGTGTCTATTTGTTGCGATGCGTACATCTAGGCCATTCCGATAATCGCCGTCTGCGGGCCGCCATCTTGGTCTGCTGGGCAGCGCAACGCTTTCTGAGGAATGCCAGACGCCGCGTTTGCATCCGCAGCTCAGGGACACGGCGTCGAAGTCGTGCCGGGAACTTTTATCTCCAAACTCGTATTTCACATCGCATGTGAATGGTACTATTTAAGGCGCGATCATTTGCATTCCTTTAGGTGTCATTAAAGCCGCGTGACGTTGTGGTCTCGAGGCTTGATGTGACGTTATACCGCGACGTCAAGGTGACACTGTGTCACGTCACATTGAATGGGGTTACGTCACAAAAAGCGATGACACGATAATGTCACTGTGACGAAGTGTCACGTCATAGTTTGCGGTGACAACGTAACGTCACTGTGACGAAGTGTCACGTCACAGTGCGCGGTAACACCGTAATGTCACTGTGACGAAGTGTCACGTGACATTCTGACGTCACCTGCAGTTGGCTATGGGAGGACGCACGGACGAACAGATATCGGGGACTAGGGGTTTCTGTTGTAAAGCCTATCTGCCCTAAAAAAATGAGGTGGTCACTTAAGGCTGTGCTTTATACACACCCGCGGGGCACGCCCGTGGGGTACGTCGTTTAGCACTTATACTACTTTCCATCTGGCCGGCGGAAGCTGTCAGATCCAGAAGTCGCTCTTTGCAGCAGGATGAGTTATGCGGCACTTAAGGGAAAGTGACAATACTGGAACATATTTTCAGGTATTGACGCCGAAACTTTTCCACGCCATCTCCAGAGACTGCTATAGGACGGACACGGCTGGACGTAGGGGAAACAATTCTACTGCAACATAAACACCCATTTTGTTTGCAATGTGTGTAACTCGAAAATATAGCTCTATCTTGGGATACCTTATTTTGACGCAACTTTTTGCGTTTTTAAGGAAACTCCGAATAAAAAAGAAACATTACTCATGGGCCTCTTGACATGTTTGAGGTTACACAAACATGGTACGAACAATCCTTTTATTGAACACTTGACCTTTTTGTGAATAGTAAGTAAAAAAAAAAAAAACGGCATCACATCTTTGTTTCTAATCGTATTAAATTTTTTTTTTTTCGCAGTGACTCGAGGTTTTCTGATTAAACCTAGAATATCGAGTTCAGTCGGACATTGCCCTAAGGAAAATATCAACAAAAAGCAGCTTCTCAACTCCACAACCTTTACAGTTATTATGACTGAGCGAACACTCGAAGAGACCGGCTGCTTCTCGCCTTGGCCGTCAATCAAGCGTCACGATAATTTACGTTGTCGATCAAGATTGTATCGCGTAAGCTTACCACAGTTTCAACGGAGACAGACTTCACGCTGCTTAAATATCCAAAGAACCAAACGAATTAATTTAGTAAAAAAAAAATGTCTAGTAACGAAATCGGTGGTCGCTATGGCGCAGAGCAAAGGAGACAGCATGGAGTCATCCTTGGCGGAAAGCCCCACCGGTGATCATGGTCGGGGTCCTCCTCCAATCAAGGTCCCGCTGAGGCCTTGCGGGGACTGCATGCAGTGCGCGCTCATGGACGACTCACTCCGACGAGCCGACCTCACCCGCCGCGAGACGGACCTCAAGCTTCGGAGCTACGAGAGTCAGATAAGGTCCTTGCAACAGGTAAGGTCATCGTTACACACCTTAACCGTATAACCTCCACCCGGAGCGGCCGTCACATGTTGCTTGTACTCCATACACAAGACACGGTGTTCGCTCAAGGCGGGATGACAGGGTGTTGTACCGACATGCCTGAAACATGTTTGCAGAATGTTTACTTCATGCATATGCAGACTTGGCATGTGTCCTCAGACAGTTTTCGCACGACCGTTCTGGCTAGACCGTCATACAAAGAAAACGCACGCCTCGGACAGCTGCTGCAGGCTGTCTGTTGTGTGGTCTAGTAGCAGTTTAACGGCGGCTAGAGTAGGACCATCCTACGGCAGACCGGCTCACAGTAATTATACTGATTGGTATGATGCAGACGAGTGATTTATTTTTTCTCTTTAATTTTAGTCAGAACAATTTCTATTTTTGACGTTTTTCCGCGTTAAAATGTCGTACATAAACGGGATTCTACGTCAACATTCATTAGCGTAGAGTATTGAATTTTTTTTTTTTTTTTTATTTGCTACACGTGTATTTTATAAGATGCCTTGCAAAGGTTGAAAAAGAAAAATAATATCCGGCGGAGGCTTTTAGTTTTATTAGAAAAACAAGCATATTTTTAAAAAAGCACAATATAATTTCGCGTAGTGATAAGCACTCGTAGATAGTTCATCAAGCTTATTAAATTCCTTCTGATAACGTTGGTTTAGGTTTTTCATTTTTTTAATTTAACAAAGTTTATATGCGCGCAAGTGCCACAGGCTATTCCTTCATAAAAAGCTTTTGCTTGTAATTCAACGCTTTTTTTTTTCAACAAAAAATGTAATGCTTCTGTCCAAGACATAGGGTAATGCCTATAAAAATACGAAGTAAATTACAAAGATGCCGTCCCGCCACTTTCTGTTCGACCTTATCTGTAGTCAATCTAATCAAATTCTTCAATCAGAATAAGAGTCAATTAATTTCGGAGTTCTTATACCGATCGGGCAAGGAAGTTTAGTTTGACAAGTAACGCCATCTTAAACAGTTTTTTTTTTTTACCAACATTGTGGTGGCCCGCGGCTAAAATCACTGTACCCGAATCCTCAGCTTCAACGTCCGAGTGCCCTACCAAACTGTGACGCAGCGAACATGCTGAAATGTTCGGTGGTATAAACTGCCCAATGTTTCCGTTTCTGGTCACTAGTCGCGGTGACTAGCAACCAACCGGCATGCCTTCTGTTCACTGCCCTGGGTTTCGATTTTAGCAGACTTGTAAGCTACTCATTACAAGTCATTTAATTACCTATCATATATTTGTTTTTAAGGTAATTTTTGAATAATATTATTCCTGTTATCAGGAAATATTCGCAAAAGTAATATTATTACCTTTGAAAGTAATAAAATTACTTGTTTCCGTTACTATATTTCCCTACCCTTTCAAATGGCGCCATTTATTTCTACAAGTTTCCTTCCAAAAAATCTTTGAACCATATGTCTCCGAAAGGACGATGTCTACCAAATCGTTTTTTCTTTTTTTTTTTATCATTTAGAAAATAAGTAACTTTTAATCGGGTTATTCTCATCTCATAATTTGGACAGTAAAAATTTCCCTTCTGCAGAAAAAGTTTCCTGTTTTGAACATCTAAAGTAACGGTTAATTTTTAAAAAACGGGCAATTATTTCTCTTATTAAGTAATCTAATTGAATACGTTTTAACCAACAGTAATTGTAATAGTAATCGGTTACTTTTTTTTCGAGTAACGTGTACAAGACTGCTTAATCAAGCTGAGAGCGAGATCGTTCTCGGCTGCCGATTAGACGTGGCACCACAGCTTACGCGTAATAAACCAGTTGTAGACATTATTGACCGTTCGTGAGTTTACAATCGGGAAATATTTCGGTGAGAACGTCTGACCGACATACAAATAGGGAGAGAGGTCGCTAGCGTGTTTGTCCTTTGTCCTCCTTTATCCGCCGCTCGATGTCGGTTTGTGTGCGGCAGCATAACAACTTGAGATTTGCCAACGAAGCGCGGGTTGTCAATGGCTCCCATGCGTGAAATAGCAAACGATCACAATTTCAACCCGCGTCCAATCTTACTTAGCCGCGGCACTCGGTTCGTAGCAGACGATCATCATTTCTTTTTCTTTCGTTGTTTTAGCAGACGACTGGCAACAGAAAGAATAAAACCAACTCAAGACAAGGGACGAGTTTGTCTTATTCTTTCTGTTGCCAGTCAACGTTACCAACACGCTCTTCAGCTAATGTGAGCTGACGACGTACGGTGTTTTCTTGTTTTATTTTCGTTTGCGAATGGCGGTTTCTAGCATACGAACCGCGTTCTCCACTCGTATTGGCAGACGAACCGTCTACGAATGTTATCTCCGCTGGCTCTGCGAGAGAAAAATTAGATGTTTCTCTCGATCTCGCAGTCACCGAAATCGGAACCCAGGAGCTGTGCTTCACCTCTTATCCTCGCAATGCTTGACGCAGGCTTGTGATTCTGCTGAGACGGCCCTTCGAGACGAGAGGTCCTTGCATGCCGTGACACGTCAGGAGCTGAGCCGCGTCGTGGAGAGGCTCAAGTTTTACACCGGAAACAAGATTGCACTTTCTGCTGTTCTCAAGGACTACCGGTGGGTAAGGCTATAATGCCCATCAAAACACTTGTGGTTGCAGTTCAGAAATTTTATATATACGCATAACAACACTTACAGAGATGTCATAAATGTCCACATCAAGAACTGAGCAAGTAAGGCCATACATCGCCTTATCGTATATTGGGCGAGGAAGTCTCCAGGTTCGTTCCAAAATGGACCGTAAAAATCGACGCCTGCCCGTAGTAATTTAAACGTTTTGTTAAAATTGTATTTCACAGGTCGCTTTTTTTCTTATTAGAAAGCGAAGCTCTTTTTTTTTGTAAACAGTAGGGCCATAAAACTTGCCAAGGTCAACGGTGGGCGGCGGCGCAGACAACCAAGACGAGTTGCGGGGTGTGTTTAACGCCCGTATTGATAGATGGCTTTACTTCTTTATCGAAATTGTTCGCGACCACCGTAGTTTATTAAAGTGAACATAATCTTATTGCAATGTACCTTTGGTTTAAAAACAAATGCAGACAATAAAATAAAAACTTAAAGTAAAAAAAAAACGCGTTTGCATAATGACGGCGCTTTTGCTGCCAACGGATTTCGTCTGTGTGTCGTCTGCTTTCTTTCGCTGGTCATCTACACTTTCGGACGCTGCTCCCGACGCCATTTATCAATTCGCGTGCCAAACACACCCGGCAACTCGACTTGGTCGTCTGCGTCACCGCCCGCCGTTGACCCTGGTAAGTTTTATGGACCTATTGTTTACAGAAAAGGAGCTACGCTTTTTAATTTTACAAGAAAAAACCGACCTGTGAAGTACATCTTTGACGAGAAGTTTAGATTGCTATACATGCAGGCGTCCATTTTTACAATACATTTTAGATCTTGCCTGATGACTTGGGACACCCTATGGGCATGTTTGGCATTTCTGCATCCGGGAAACTCTCCATGCAAAGATTCTGTGTTTCCTATATGTTTTCGAGAAGGGCATCTACCTGCACGCTCGTTTTTGAATAAGTTCTTTATGTAAAATCGGTGTTACATCGTTAATAATTTTTCACACTACGCCATTTCTGATAATGATAAGAATTGTTCGCGCACGTCCCTAAAATAAATAACTCCTGGGAACGTGGATATATTAAATTAGTAAATGGCAACTTTGCCGAAGTTCTGAGACCAGATTTCTGCAACCATCTTGCAACGAAAAATGTGCGTACGACGAAACCTATGAGCAATTCACATTCATGAAGTGAAATTATTGCAAGATTTGCTTTTTATTTTCATGGACCTGACTTTTGCACTCTTCAAACATTTCATGTGAATTAAGCTTTACGGCTGAGAGTAAAACTGCAAAGGCAGCAAATATGAGCAATATGCTCAAGCCTGATTCACATGGTGCGATATTACTTGCGATTTCGCAGTTGCGATGGGGGCTTGTTTGGCAGAAAAAGCGTGGTGGAAACAGCGGTTTTCAACGCAGCAGCGATAAATTTTCAAGTGAAATTGCACCATGGTAATCAGGCTCCTATAATGTTCACGCGATTCCTTTCCATCCGCGAAATCGCGAAAATTAAATATCCCGTAATATTGTTAATTTACAATGTGTGCCCTTCGTACAGTGGCCTTCGTGCACTTTTGACCTCCTGATTGCGTACAGGACATTGAGGAACTGCGGGACCATCGCTGGTCCGCAGAGCCTAAGGGACGAGAAGGACGTAGGCAAGGACACCGTGGGAGTGCAGTGGAACCGGACCTTCAGGAAGAGCCGTGGTGCCAAGGTGGCCGAGACGAAGCACCAGCAGGTCATCTGCATCCAGCATCTGAACAGTCTGGGCAGGAACTCGGACATCGGTGTGCAAGTGAACCTTCACTCGGCGAGGCTGGACGAGGATCGCTCTAAGCTAACGGCAAAGGTGAGGCACAGGGACGGACGAAGTTCTTTTGAACGCCGAAGAGCTGTCCAAACCAACCAAAACGTCTCTAGGAGAAATCTGGGAGAGAGGAGCGACGTCAACGGTGATGTTCTCCGGGTCCTGCATTCTGGCTCCAAAGTTTAATATATTTATTTTTCACTCTCACACGGACCAGGACGAGGCAGGAGAGGCCATATGAGGGGAAGGCGGTTCACTCTCCTCGCCAACCGTGAGCACGTGGTCTTTGAATTTGAGGTGAGGTCGTGAAAAAAATACATTTCGATTGGTCGGCTGGAAAACCGCCATGAGGTCACTTCAACAGTCACTCTGGCTGTCACTGCTCGTTCAAGCACCTTCACACGCTTCCGGGCTAAAACGGCTACCGGAAGTTATAAAACAAAACGGATTCCGTTTTCCGAATTATTCCGAGCGACGTTTTGCAAGTTGGTTTGGACCGCCCCTGACTATTTTTGCCTGGTGTAGATTGCAGGAGGCTGTCGTTTAAGTTTCTGTTGAGAAAAAGAGCAGCTGTCGTTGCCAGAATCATAATGTGGGACCGGTTGAAGATACAGTCAAGACAAATTGGTACAAACTTGTTCTCGCTATCAGAGGGCTTTTATACTCTGTTTTACCTTAGTATGAACATCAGCGGACGCTATATGAGCCGTCGTAGCCAATCTAGCAGTGGGTGTATCATGTAAATTCGCGTGGTTGCGCACCTCCGGAAGGCTTCGTTGATGACTCGTAACGTCCGTTGCGGTCCATCGTAAGGTGAAACAGAACTGTGATCAAGGGGCCTTGAGTTTACTGTCAATGGTTTACTGTGTTTTTCTTTTCTTACAAAAAAATTGTATTAAAACACCAAATCTGCGTCAAACACGTGTGCCAATTGTAAACGCGGTGGTGCTAAAGACGATCTACGCAAAACGCAGATGCGGTACGGCATCGCCGCAGTCTTCCAAGACAAGTCGGCCAAGACGCTGCCGCCACGCGTGAGTCGCACCTGCAGCAACCGAATCAGCAAGCCTCTGCGTGGCGTCATCACAGAACGAGAGATGGCGCTGGGCATCCTGAGCAAGGAGGTGAAGCTGCTCCAGGAGGAGCGGGACCATCTGCAGGAACTGCTTACCCACTCGCTGCAGGACGTCGTGCCTCAGCATCTGAATCACGTGTCCAGAGAACTCCAAGAACAGCTCTCCGGGCTGAGGGCGGAGAACCAGCGGTTGCTCGAAAGCTACAATGCTGAACGGGTAACGACGCCATGATGTCTCATACTTAGGGATATCGCAAACCTGGCGAGATTCGAAGTCAACTGGGTTCGACTTTTTCGAACTTTTAACTTCAAGTTAGACATAAGTTCGACCGTTGTGCGCACGCGTAGTAGTAAATACGTTTATTGAACAGAAAAAAAATTATGTTGTTGCCTCTATAGGTTGATACCATCTGGCAAGACAAGAAAGGGGAGGGGGGAATCAGATTTCGCGGATGAGGCCTGAGGAGCGAATAAACTGACCAGTGATGACAATAATTGTTTTCTGTGGGCGTTATTGATGCTTGGGTGGGTTCACTCTCTATAGCTTGAGGGCCTTGCTTCTGGCGGTAATTCTGCAACGGCTTCTAGTCTTCGCTTCTCTGTGACCTTGGAGTTCCAGACCAAACGCATATATGTGGCTTGTTGGCCACACGCTTTACTAAATAGGTCCGGACCGGTCTTCAGGAGACGTTGGTTTGTGAAACCTGGCTTGCCGCGCCGGTGTGATGGCCGTTTTAGTTTGAAGCGTTCGTGCGCACACCCTCCCCCACCTGAGAAACTAGAAGGGACAGTGAAATCGTCCGGGGGCAAGAGCGAGGTCAGTCTATGTTTCCTGGGCCTTCACTCCTCCTCTTTGGCTTCTTCGGAGTCTAGTGCCAAGTGTGACCTTCTTTTGAAGGAACTGAGTTCGCCTTGGGAGTGTGGAAAGATATGTAGTTTAACCTTCGCGGCATCGTCAACTGTCTCATTCCCTGGTATTCCGAAGTGGCCTGGGATCCACTCGATTTTTAAGTCCCCACCTTGAAGTCGAAACTATTCGGCTCAAGACGATTTGCTGCACCGTTCGATTACTGATGCTTGTCTTGGCGCACTAGTTTTCTGCTGGTTTTGAGTCGGTGAAGATGTGCAGGGTCTTTGGAGTTCCTTGGATCTTCTACGAGGTTAGTTTGAAAAGTTCCCGGAATCGCCACTAGGGGGCGTTTTGTTCCAAAATATTTTTATGTCACCCTTTTGTATAAATCGACCACACATTTCAGATTGATATCTCAAACGTCTGGCTTTGACAAGCATTCTAGTCGAGCAACCATGAACATTTTCAAAGATGAATTAAAACGAAATACGAGCGGTCACTAAATATTTTCATTTGAAAGGAAAAACCGCCACCGATATCAAATGCAGGTTGAGTGCTGTTCCTAGGGAATCATCACCTTCGTTTTCAACCGTGATTTTTTGTGTTTCCAAATTCAAACGTGGTAGTACGGACGCAGGTGATGGACCACGTTCAAGACGCCCATAAACAACTACCACATCAGGGCCCGTTTGCTCGAAACGCTAACCGCGGCTAAAGTTAGCCGCAGTACCTAGGAGAGGGATTTTGAGATCACGTGACTGGCTCGATAAAGATGCGGGGAAACATGGCGGTGCCCCTGTGAGTGAGCGCCGCTCGCTTTGGAACTAATATGTCGTTGTAGCTGCAATATCGCGTGCGCTAGTCAGCAACAAATGATAAGGAGGCCTTCACTTTGCCTTACCTGCTCGCAAAGCATGAGCAATGGCCTCGCCGCATTTTTCTAGATTGTCTTTCGATTCTGGTCATTCCAAAGCCTAAATGAAAGCGATAATTGTTGGCATGGCAACGTCTTCGGAAAGCGGATTGCCTTGACTCAATCGGCCGGGTATTGATAGCACACAAAAGCAGACAGCGTCCCAATAAACCTTTTTTTGAATTACTCAAGCATCGAGGAGAACCCTGGAAGTGTAATTCTACGGTTCGCGCTCGCTGGCCTTCCCCTTATAAAATATTTTAAGTAAATAATCATAATAAGCCTTTGACGAACGCGCGTGCAAAACAAAATTTGTTTTAGATTTTTTGCTTTAGAACAATTACTACTGCAGACGCCAGCACGTGCAACGCGTGTAACTACACTCGTAGCATGCATCTCGGTGCTTGGGGGGACGCTGTCTGCATTTGTCTGCTATCAATACCCGGCCGATTGAGTCAAGGCAATACACTTTCAAAAGACGTTGCCATACCGACAATTATCGCGTTCACTTAAACTTAGGAATGGCCAGAATCGAAAGACCATCTAAAAAATGCGGCGAGGTCATTGCTCATGCTTTGCAAGTTAAGTGAAGTAAGGCAAAGCGAAAGCCTCCTGCACCATTCGTTGCTGACTATACTTCATTTCAACTTCGGTACGAGCGCGGTCGATGTTATGAGCCGAAGGGCCAATCAAACAGCGAAAGAGGCACAGCGTCGTGGTGTGCTCTCTGCAGTTGATAGGACCAGCCGGTATTCGCCGTCTCTCTGTGCGTGCTCCTCCGCCAGCCAGTCCTATCAAGCGCAGAGAGCACGCCATGACGGTGCGCTTTTTGCGCTCTTTGATTGGTCCTTCGGCTCATAACATCAGCCGCGCTCGGACCGAAGCTGAAACGAAGTATAGCGCGCCCGATATAGCAGCTACAACGACATATTTGTTCCAAAGCGAGCGCCGCTCACTCACCGGGGCACCGCCATGTTTCCCCGCATCCCTACCGAGCAAGTCACGTGATTTCAAAATCCCTCTACTAGGTACTGCGGCTATCTTTAGCCGCGGTTAGTGCTTCGAGCAAACGGGCCCACAAATTGTGGATAAAATCCATCACCTGGTTTTAGAATGCCACCTCATAAAACTGCGTGAAATCGAGTAAGCAGTGGGAATATCTTCTGAACTAGTTGTTCATATTTTACACAATGAACAGTGATGAAAAAAGCTTTCTGCAAAATGTGTGCCGCACTCGCTCAATCCTGAGCAAAAACGCATTCGAGCCCGAACGTCAGCCGACTGTTTGCAAGCGTTTCAAGCAAATCAAACCGACTCTAAGTGACGATTTGTAACTATGGACGAAAACTGGGTCGACCATTACACGCAAGAAACAAAAAAGTAAATCAAAACAATGCACTGAGCCCGGCGAACCGACAACGAAAAAGGCAAAAACCATTCAGTCGGCAGGCAAGGTGATGGCATAAGTTTTTGGGGACGACAAAGGAAATGTTCTCATTAAGTATCTTGAAAAGGAAAAAAACAGTTACTGGCCAATACTACACAACAGTTCTGAGCAAGCTGAAATGAATAATTGAAGAAAAACACCCCTGAATGGTGAAGAAACAGGTATTCTTTCACCACGACCCGCCCATTCAAGTGCAGTCGCTCAGCAGAAACTGACAAAACTGAAGTTCAAAATCTTTTCGCATCCACCGTATCCGCCTGATTTGGCTTCTTCGGACTTCCACCTATTCTCAAAGCTCAAGACCTTCCAGGCTGGAAAGTAATTTCTGTCGAATGAAGAGGTTGTGGGGGCTGTGAAGAGTTGTTTTGGAATCTCGAAGAAAAAGTCACTTCCGGGAGGAAGTCGAAAACCAGGAGAAACGCTGGACAAAGTGTGTCGAGCTTCGGGAGAATTATGTCGAAAAATAAAGTACAACTTAAATCAGATATATTGTTTTCATTTTAATTTCGGAAACTTTTCAATCTAACCTCGGAGAAACCAAAGGATTGCTAGATGTTCTGCCGTCTTCGCACTATGGGTTTTCTGTACGTTCTTGCTTCTGGGCTCTCGGGAGTTTTCGGTGCACCAGGCGATGTCGGTTTATTCTTCCTCGTCTCTAGCGGCATCACTGTAGATTATTATTTTATTTTCTTGATTCGTGAGGTGCTCGATGAGCGTAGATTATTGTTTTATTTTCTTGATTCGTGAGGTGCTCGATGAGTGTAGATTATTATTTTATTTTCTTGATTCGTGGAGGTGCTCGATGTTCGTGAGGAAAGCTGCGATCAAGTGTTTCTTGCTCGCAGCTTTTCTACGCCCGGATAGTTCGGTCCCTTGAATCTTTGGGACTGGCTTGATATCTACCACTGCTTAATTCTCCAACGGAGGCGGAGGGGTTACGTTGCTGGTCACTTGCAATGTTCTTTCTCCTAGTTCTCGTAGAATGTATCTGACATGCCAAGTTTCTCTAGCCCGTTTCTCTGGTTAATTTGCATCTCCGCTGCTATTTCTGATATCAAGTTAACTTCCGCTGCTTGGCGAAGGTCTTCCATCGGTTTTATTTTTGGTAGGCCAGTGCTTATTCTCATGGCCGCCCTGTTTATCACTTCGGCTTTTCTTTCGGCGGCTTTGTCAATCTCAAACCTAGCGCCGCCTGGTGGAGGAGGGGAGCAGCATTTTGTCAAAGCAACTCAATCAATAAAATGCTGTGCTTTATTTTATATTGTATAAGCGTTAGTAATTATTTTCTGGGATATAAGCAAGCTATTACCTAAATGTTTTTTGCTAAATAGTTTTACATTTTGGGGCAGAAATCCAAGAAGTCGAACATTGTTAAAACATCGAAGGTTCGGCGAACCAGTTTAACGTTAGGGTCGATAAAATTTCGCGATATTTCTACTTGTATTCGTCGGTGGGCAATCTATCACCTTTCAGCAGGCGGTGCCGCCATGGATGGAGAGATATGTAGGGAGTATTCAATGGCGGCCATAGCTGTGTGCGCGACAGCTGAGCGCGCGATAGCGGCGAGCTTCCGCAGTTCTTTTGCAACGTGCATTCCACACTATCAGGATTGCCGGTCTTGACAGCCTATTAATGTGAGCTTGTTATGAGCATGCACTCTGAGCAGCGCCCCCAATATGGCGTCCAATAAATACCCCCTTTACGGTTGTGCCCTTTAAATTGGGCGGCGGCTTGCGTCGCCAAACCAGTGTTTTTGTTTTAATTAAGGTTATTTCACCTATTTCTAATGAGCAAAACATTAACTAATTTATTAACATTAACATTAAGTAATAGTTGTATACAAATTACGATTAGTTTAATAAAAGCGCCTTTCTCGCAACAGGTTGCGCTCACCTTTCCAATAATGAATCGACAAAAAAAGCTAAGAATATTTATAGCCAAAATACTGTAAGTGCGCAGGCGAGCTAGTGGTAGCTAATCATGTAGTTTAACAACTGACACTAAGGTGCAGAAAAAGAATAAAACTCTTAGCCGAAGGAGCGAACACAGAAGGAACCAACTGGCCCAACTCACCATTTTGTTGCAGAAGGAAACGTCTCGAACTCGGCCAACTGGTTTGTTTCTCAAGCATCCAAAATATACCCACACGGCCACTCTCAACGACCTTCTACGCAGAAATCTCCGTTGTTGAAACCTTTTCAAATAAAAATACAATTTGTATTTGAAAATGCTTTTAACAAAAGATGTTTCGTAGAAAGTGGTTGAAAGTGGCTGTAGGGGTATATTTAGGATGCTTGAGAAATAAAGCAGCTGGCTGGGTTTGACAGAAAAATACGAAAACTAAAAGTTCTCCTTTTTTTCTGCACCTCAGTGTCACGTGTTAAACTACATGATAAATATATCTAGGGCCATCTCTCGACATAGGTTCGCACTATTAAGGCTGTTGCTCAGTTGCCACAATGTGGCGCTGCTGGTGTTATGAAACTTTGTAGCTGAAGCATCGTTGCAATTTATATTAACTAAAACCTTAGGTCTGCCCTGCTACTCGTCATAACAAGGGCCACTAAAATTTTAAACGTTTGATTATTTAGTTAGTTGAGCCTGTAGCACCCATAAGGCATCATCGCTCGAAAGCGGCTATAGCTACAAGCATCACACGTTGCCCATGACTTGGTGTGTTAAGACTAAAACCAATTAATTTCCTTTTAGATATAAATATATATTTCAGTAATGAACTAATCGAGCAGCCACTGTGGGCTTAAACACATACTGAACCAATATTTCTGAGAAAGCTGTACACGAAAACTGGCGTCTTACCCTTCTTTATTGCAGAAGGAATATATTACTTTGGCATAGCGTTCACAAAAAATTGTGCATGCAGATCGCCTCGTTATGTTTGCATTTTTTATTATATTTTGTTATTGCTCAATATGTGACAGAGCATAATCATCTAATGTTTCATAGAAAGTATATTTCTAGAAAAAACGTGCTAAAAACAACATTCCGATTTTTTGAGCTTGCAGTTTGTATCAACTTTAAAAGCGCATAAGACGTAAATGTTTCTGTATCCTCCATTGCATTTTGTTTCTTCTTTTTTTCTGTGCCCCCAATGGTAATGTAATGGACTATTTCGGTATATTTTCTTTAAACCCTACTAAAAAAAATAACGTCCGCCTCTGGTCTTAAGGTCATCTTGTTTGATTCGCTATATTTTTATTACTAGTCTGACCGTACAAAAAAATGTTTAGTACCCGAATTAAGGTGTCTAAACTAAATTCTAACTACTTTCGAAGAAAACCAAGTCAGCAGAACCGGTCAGAAGAACGTTTTCTCTTCAGATGATCAGATTAGCATCATGATGATTACCATAATTACATTATCATCATGATGAATATCACGATTATATTATCACGATGATTATAGTCATGATGATTATAATGATTACATTATCGCGATAATGATTATCATGATTACATTATCACTATGATGATGATGATGCATATTATTATAATATCATTATCTTCTCATTTTTTCATAGCTGCTAAGAAAGAAATACTACAACATGGTGGAGGACCTCAAGGGAAAGATCAGGGTGTATTGCCGCATCAAGCCAAAGAGCGGAAATCAACTCAACAACAAGGTGTGTCCTAGACAGTTTGGGCCAGAAATACTTTAATTCAAAAAGTCATCCTTCCTAACATCATGTCCAATATACCCACCAATATAAAAGTACTTTTACCAGAGTCACCTTTAGCTAGCTAATTCTATTCTTGCTTTCTAAATTAAAAAAAATCACAATTGCGCTTCAAATTGCATCTGCTACGGAATCTGAGACTGTCAACAGTTTATTTAAAATAGCATTTGTTCCTAATAGATATAATATTATGTTATAAACAGTCAATAATTCTAAAAATTGCCGGAGTGCTTCGGGGTCTATGTTGTTTAATGATGAACACTGGTAAACACAATTTGGAAGTATTATTTGCAGCCACAGTATAGACTCCACAAACCTTATCTACAGAATATCTAGATGTATATTTCTTATGTCATTAGTTTCAATACAAATTTTACTGGTTGATTATAACATCTGGATTAATTGAATGGTCACACAAAAAAACGACCGCGATAATAACGTGATTCTAAGATAGATATGCTTGCGTTTTAATTAAAAAAAGTATATGTACATTCTTGGAACTCATCCTTCCTACATGCATAGATCTTACCTAAGCGCCATTTTCTTGATAAAAAAGCAATACAAAAAGTACTCTAATTTTGCACTTTTATTAAACAAATACTACGTATCTTAGCACGCTTACTTTTAATATATGAAGTGTACTTTTAATACACTTTAGTGACCTTCGTACTTTAGTGGTGCTACTCGTTTCTTGTTTGTGCGTTTACAGTTACACTTGAGGCTAAATACCATTATCACAATTTAACCCGATGTTTTCTCTATATTGTCTGTAGGCCTTCGTGAATGTTTTGGAGCCGACTGACGACTACACACTGATCGTGCACACCCAGCGAGGCGACAAAGAATTCACGTTCGACCGCATCTTCCTGCCACAGCACACTCAGGAGGATGTTTTCACCGAAACGAACGTAAGTTTCAAATGTTTTCAAACAATGAACTCTTTGAGGGCACACGCCGTACATCTACGGCGGCAATTACGAATTCAAAAGTGTTAGCTTTTCAGACCCATTGGCCCAGACAGTTTCCGCCTCGGTATAACGCACACGTTGGCCCTCAAGGCATTTTATTTTTCGAGAGAGAAGAGGCGAAAGCTTAATTTATTTCCTCAACTCAAGCAGTCTGGACCAGGCGAATGAGAATCCAGCACAGCCGCCCGAAACTGCATCGTCGAATGGGTCGTTTATATTGTTGGAGACTGTACTTCGAGCCACCCTATGCGGTAAAATATGATGGTCGTCAATATATCCTATCGGAATTGATAAAAAAATAAACATACGTAGGACTTACCCCTGAAGGCGGTAAGTCCTACGTATCACTGTGGACACTCCCTAGAGGAGGTAGCGTTATCCCCTGCTGGGAGGCTGGAACCTTACACCCTTGCTTAGGGGGTAACTATGCTCCCTCCAGTAGAGAACTTTAAGCCCTTTTGGATGTAAAAATACATGCATAGAGGGCCTGTTTTAACTATTTTTGGTTGTAACTTCAACCCCTTTTGGTGGTAACACTGACACTGAAAGTTTTATGGAGCCTCACACACTGATTCTTTCTAGGATATAAATTCAAACCCTTTTGGAGGTAAGAACACCTGCATAAAGGATCTGTTTTTACCTCCTTTTGGGGGTAACACCGGACGTTTTGAAGGTTTGTTACCTCCTTTTGGGAGTAACACTGCACGTTTTGAAGGTCTGCTGTTACCTCCTTTTGGGGGCAACTCTCATCCCTTTTGGTGTAACACTGCATGTTTTAAGGCTGCTTTCACCTCCTTTCGAGGTAGAAGTTACACTGGTATTCTGCATCACTTCCTGGAGCAGTATTTCCACCCGTTCTGAAGTGGAAGTTTTGCACCAAGAAGTGGTGAAGTGTTTCGAGAAAACCTGCCAACACAGATGAAAACCTAGCAGATATAATTTCATTATTGCTTCAGTGAAATAGGATACAGAAATTGTATTGCAAGATACCCTCGGGAGGTGGTATCTCACAGTTGTGCTCCTTTCCAGAGGCAGTAATAAAATAACGTCATCACAAATGAGGACACTACTTATTCAGAACATGCATGACGATGCGTTTTTATTGCAAGTCATAAATACAACGTATCACATCTTAGAACACTCGCAAATAAAATAAAAGCCTGCTACAATTCAAAATTGAAGGACAAGACATATAATACCAGAAATTAGTATCAGACCTATGTAAAGGCTGCCTGACATCTCTTTCCAGGAAACCCCACATGCAAAAGGCAAAGAAAGCAATGCATGACTATCAGTGACTTCACCATCACATGACTAGCTGTAAATTCACCTCCGCCTTTAAGAAACACTAAACATAAGAATAACTATGGAACAGCAGAACATCAGGTACCGGGAACAAACATTTTCAACTTTTGAAATTTGGTGAATGTCATTAAACTTTATGTCTATATGAAAAAACAAAATATTAGCTTAAAAGTATGACATTCCCCGTCCGGAAAACCACCAGCTTGAAGCAGCTAATAAGTAAAAATAAAAAAATGCAATACACACCACACCCCCTTAAAAAGAAGAATCATATTTTAGATGTGCTTCAAACAACTACTACTCTAACTCAGCATTATGTTGGGAGTTGTTACGACAACAATTTTATGCTCTAACCTTAAGAACAAAATGACACTATATGTACTTCTCTGATCCAGGATTACTAGAGTTTATTAATATACTTTCTCGTATTTAAACCTCGCAAGCACAAATCACTGTGTACATGGACGCACAACCCTCAAATGCTTTCAGGCGGGTATGAAGTAACCTGAAATAAAATAAATATGTAAATTGGAAATAAATTATATACAAAGCAAGAAGCGGTGATTATTGAAGTTTCAAAACGGGGATAATAAAAAAAATGTGATTGCCCTTCTGTAACTCTCAGAATGAACTAACCCACCTTATGGCAGACAACAACAACAAATAAAAACACAAACATCAAATAGCCTACTTCTAAGTTCCTAAACCTGCATAGACATTCAAATAGGAAAATCATTTTTTGCATCTCTTTTAGGTTTGAAGGCATGTGAAAGGGTGGAGCTCCAAATTTCGAGTGTTTCAGACCAATAAGGTACTCGAGCGCAATAAATGTGCGCCTGAACGTGTGATGGTACACAAACTTAAAGATGAAGTAGATGCAGAATGCAACCAGGAGTGCCTCAGCAGGCGACGCATGCTCCGAGGTTTATCGCCTCCACTGCCACTTAGCTGGGCAACTCAGGATCACATAGGCGTGAGCAGACAGTCACCGGGTACATTCCACTGCCTGCCTGGAACCAAAGAAATGAGGAAATAGTGTGATATGAAATTGAAGCCTATTATACCCCATTTAAAGAAACTGGAGAAATATATGGTTTCTCTTAGACGCATCTAAACCATTTGATGGACCACTGATGCCGAAGTTAAACAGTGTCAGCCATATACACCCGACATGAGACCACTTTAACTGTCTAATTACACCATTGACTAATATTACCACATGGCGGGTGGTAATCGTAGCTTAGTAAGCACTTTGTATTCGCCGGCCATGTTGAAATGTGTCACCCCGATTTACTTAGGTGACAACAAGTTTTAGTCAAGGGGTACAACTACTGCGGGCAGGTGACTAGCAACTCAGCACCACAGCCGACTCTCATGACCGCCAGCACTAACTGCCGAATGCCGAACTTCGGCAAATATATATATATATTTTGCATTTAGACATGAGAAAAACAGAACACGACGAGGACGAAGACACAGAAAACTAACGCGATGAAAGAGTGTAAAAGACACACGCAAGTGCCGCGTGTGTCTTACTCTAATTTATTTATTAAGTATACCATCAATTTTCTCCAAGAAATGCACGAACACCACACACTCGAAGAAACAATTAAAAATCAAAAGCCCCGTTTTAAGCGAAAAATGCGCACAGAAAAATTAAAACAAAATATCTGACTGCTCTTACCTGCAGAAATCACTGCTAACAACTCCACGAGATCAGTTCAAGGTAGCAGCAGCAAGATATAGTGGTGGTCCCCAGTAGACATCCAGGACCCTCGACGAAATCACCCTTAAACATTGGCACAGAATGGAATAAATATATTCAATCAACTTGAAGGCAAACGTGAGCCATCTAACTTCTCCTACTGAATTACGGTAGAATGCTTTTAAAAATGTGCAATCACACGCAAAGAAAATCCCAAGACAACCAAATAATTGCCGGCAATAGCTGAATTACCTTATTCCGTGATATGCTACTATTGCTGTTCGTGAAGCACACGAATAATTAAAGGGGCGGTGCAACGGTTTTAATGTTGAAAGAATTGCCAGTTTGCATTTTTTATAGGGCTGGGCAATTGATCGATTAACCTTCCGATTAATCGATTAAGGCTTTAATCGCGATCAATATTTTTAACCGGTTAATCGGTTTTTTAATCGGTAGTCAAAAGAAGTCCGTTCCCAGCCAGGTGCAATGAGCAAGGTTCAATTCTCGCGATCGCGAAGCGCCACGTGTTCGAGGATATACATTACAGTGTGTTGAGGATCTATTACACATCCTGCCCAGGCAAGACAAACAAGCACAAAAACAAGCTGGGAAGCTAACAGCGCCATGGTTACTTGTTCCAGTATTCGGCACGTAAAAATGGACGAGTTCACGAGTATGAAAGGCAATCTCGCTGGAAAGTTTGGTTTTAAAGTAAACTCCAGCGGTGAAGTTTTTAACTCGAAGGAAGTCCACTGCATCATCTGAAAAAAGCCGTTTTCGTACAGTGGAAGCGTAAGTTCGCTTCAGTATCGCCACAGCGAAGCACCCATGTAGCTGCAGCGAGGACCATCCGCCAAAACGCAGACAACAATCAACGCCTTCTCATCGAGGTTCCTTTTTCTGAAAAAAAGAAGAAAGCATCGCCCAAGCTCTGGCTTCTTGTCTTCCTGTCGGAGAATGTGGACAAACGTCTTTGACTTCGGAGCTGGAGCAAACATATTTATCTATATGTATCCTCAATTCTAAATGTCCTTTGCACCGTGTAACAGAGACTAAAACAAGTCTTCAAAGGCAAGAAGAGTTGTTGCATTCTTCTTAATATGTTATTTATAAAAACTAACGCAACCGATTAATCGATTAATTAATCGATTAAAGGGTGGCGATTAATCGGGTTAAAATTTTTAATCGACGCCCAGCCCTAATTTTTTATATTGTTTAAACAAGCCCAAGTGACCAATAACGCGTCACCTTTCCCACAAAAATGGCTATTCTGCTGCGTAATCGCAAGGCCAAAAACGAATTATTTGACGATCTGCAGCCGCCAGTGGTGGCTACGGGAACTAAGATGACGGCGTCTCCTGGGGGATACGCGGAAGTCAACAAACATTGTCCTCCTCCGCTGCTACACTCGCCGTCAGCCCCGTGGCGAACCGTCCTTTGTGTCCATCGCTCGCCGCGACCTTCGACGAGGTTAATCCTTTAAAAGTCAACAATTGTGGAGGAAGCGGCTGGGGTCTCTGAAGAGAAGGCCCAAGGGGAAACCACGTGAACCCCCTGAGACGTCACTCGAAAGTCGGCGTAGAGAGTTGAGAGGCACTTCGACCTTCGATTTGTTTCATTTCTTTTAAAATAAGAACTAGCGCCCGCAAGAAAATTCGGCTTTCGGTTTTTCGTTCTATAGGTGACGCAGATTAATTTCCGCAGTTAATTGGCCAAAGTCTGAAAATCGTTGCACTGCCCTTTTAGTTCAAACATTTATATTAGGAATTTCGAGGTAACGTGACGTTTGACATAAAATGTATTTTTAACCATGTTAGACTAAACAAGAAATAACCTTGATAGCAAAAATCAATGTTTAACACTGATTTTTACAAATATCAACGACGTTTGGGATCGATCAAGGCGGTTGGTCGGCGCCACCAGTCAATGC